GCGATGTCCATGAGGTCGATAAAAGCGTCCGCATCGTAAGTCTCATCCGCGACAGTGGAGAGGGCATCGGAGTAGCCCGAGCCGTAACCTGCAAGAGCCGCTGCCGTGGGGTCTACCGCTTCGGCCATGTATTCAGCTGCATCACCTTCTTGCTGGTCGTCTTCTTCTGGCTTGGGCGAAGCAGGTTTCCCCGCATTCCAATCGCGGTTGGATCTCTTTAAATGATGAACAGGTGAAAGGTTTCTCCATATCTTCATAGATTGAGAAATTGCTTGGGCTGTAGCTGGTTCGTAGTCGTCTTCCGTCAACTGCTCGTCGTATGGCGCAGTATTCGGATCAGCGCAGTGACCCCGACCATTACCGCGAGACCAGACCCGCGGTGTCCTGCGGAAGCGGGGGCTCCTTGATGGGCGCCTCGTGGGGCAGCCGAGCCCGCGGTCGGCGCACCCGATGCAAATGCGGGGAAAAAAAAAACACCTCGGTAAAGTTCCCGCCCCTCGACGATGGCCCTCTGAAAACCACGCTTTATAAGGGCTTCTTGTGTTTGACGGCCCCCCTCCTTTTTGAGCGGATGACTTTGCCTTCGGCACTTCGATTAACCTTGCGAAGAGAATACCAGTGACGGATCAGTCCAATCCTTGCCCAGCCAGCGTCGCATCCGAGCAGTCAACAAGGCGCTGTATTTCGTCTTCTGGATAGCATTCGCGAGGTTATTCCCCTTGACGCGGGTGCCCCCGCAAGCGCCCCCTCCTCGGTGGAGCGCCAGGTCCACTGCCATTCCTTGGAGGGGTCCTTGGGGTCCTCTTATCAAGGGGATGAGGGCGCTGAAGGCCGCTGGAGCGAGCGCCACTGGAGCGCGCGCGCGCGCGTTCGGGCGAGCCACTGCGGACCCGACCGCGACGCGCCAGACGTGCTTCGTCTTCCCATTCTTCGTCATCGTCGCCGGCGCGATACTTACGTCACCTCCAGGCCTGGCGGCTTGCCGATCGCTCCTGGCGGCTCAAGGAGCGGTCCGAAGCTACGAATGCATATTGAAGTCCTTCGTTGCGGCCGAGCTCGCACTGGATGCGCTCCGACAGATCGCCAGCATCTCGCGGGGTTCCCCGCAAAGGGCCATCGTCACTCAATTCCATGTTTGTTGGGTTACCAATAACCCGAGGATAACGCATCAATTGTAGCCCCTCCTCTGCTGCAGGAATTGTGACTTCTGAATCCGCGGGCGTCGCCGCCATTTCGTCATCTCCTTCGGCAGGCATGTGGAAGTTTCGACGCATTCTATATCGACAGGTTGCCCCGCGATGGGCATGCCAAGCCAGTCTGCCAGGTCGATCTCATTGTGGCCAGCGAATGTCTCCTCGAACAGCTCGTCGGCATAATTCTCGAGGGACATGCTGGCACTCAAATATCTGGCAGCCATGAAGTTCACAACTGCAACTGAGCTGTCGACAGGGTCGGCCAAAAGTGACTCCCAGTCAACATGCTGTATGTCCGAGTCAATTTGAACCAAATGCATCGACGGGCCTCCGCCTCTCCCATCGCCCTGAGGGCATTCGCGGCGAAAGTGCTGTGTGCTACGGCACATGTCGCACTCCATAGTTTTACATTAGGCGGACTCGAGACGCCTACTCTATAGATCTGGGCAAACGCTTTCGGAAACGTATTTCGGGTGTGGATTTCGGCGGAAAATCGTTGCAGCGACGTGTTTTTCGGAGATCGGTTTCGGAAACAGTTTTCGGAGGTCATGTCGGATGTGACTTTCGGAAATTGGTTTCGGAAATCGGTTTTCTGATTTCGGTTTCGGAAATCGGTTTCGTAATCCTATTCGGAAGCTGGTTTCAGATAGCTTCCACGATCGTTGCAAGCTCTCACTCTTTCTGGGGGTCGGCGGAATGGCGTAAACCACTTGAAACAGTTTCGGAAGTTGTTTCCGAAAAAGCGTTGGCCTCGCGCCCTTCGACTGTTCCTGGATTGCTGCGTTGCCTCGGTCCCAGAGGCGCGAGTACGCTCCAAACTCGCGACTTCGGAAAGCAAGGCGACGGGCAGAAGAGGACGAGGGGGAACGAGCCAAGGACTGAGGAGGGCCAGCAGGATCCAGGATGATGAGGAGCGGGCTGAATACGCAAGAGAGCGGCCTCTTCGAGTTGAGAAACGCAAAACTCTCCCGGGGCGCCGCAGCGAAGGCTCTCGGCCAATCTGACGAGGGACCGTGGGCAACCGAACGCAAACCTTCTCTTCGTCTTCATCTTCCCAGCCCTCCTTTTCCTAATCCTATTCCTCCAGGGCGCACGTGCGTGGGGGTGTCAGTCTTACGGTCTTGCGTTTCCTCCTCCTCCTGCTCCTCCGCCTCATCCACTTCTTCCTCCTCCTGCCGTTGTCCTACTATGATGTCTCGGTGGGATCAAGCAAGTGGGCAAACAAAGCTGATTTGGGAATTGCAATACAATGCAGACAATGCACTTGCTATCCTGACCCATCACCAATCTCGTGGGGACCAGATATGCGGGAAGCTTGTTCGTCCCATCGGGGTCTTCTCGGGCCCCGTGCCGTCAGTTGCGGAGATTCCTCTCTGCCTGGCTCCTCGATGGCGGGGGCACAGCAGGACGAGGAGCAGCGGCAGCAGCAACATCATCAGCATCAGCAGCGGGGGAATGAACCAACATTTACATTTCGGTATCTCGCCCATCCCGCGGGCACTACCCTGTACCGAACTCCAGCTGAAAGCGAGCAGGGGGGAAGGAGCAAGAGGGGGAGGAGGAGGGGGAGAAGGAGGGGTGAGGACGAGGGGGAAGGGGGAGGTGAAAGAGTAGGGAGGGGAGGAGGAGGCGGAGGAGGAGGAGTAGGAGGAGCAGCAGCAGCAGCAGCAGCAAGAGCAGGAGCAGGAGTAGGAGCAGATGCAGGAGGACGAGGAGAAAGAGAGAGAGGGGGTGGAGGAGGAAGAGGGCGTAGGGGCGGTGAGGAGCGGCGCGCCAGGCGCCAGGGCACTTAGAACACCATGTCCAGCTCATCGTCCGTCGTCGGGCCCTCGTTGTTCTCATCCTTCTTCAAGTAGCAATCTGGCACGTTCATCAGGATGGCCATGATAAGAGCTGCAATCACACTGCCAGTGAACGCACTGCCGCCGAGATCCTTCCACAGCACCTCGGTCGTCTTCTGGTCGTTGATGTAGTTGCCCCTCTCCTGCAGGAACGCATTGAGCAGGTCGTCCGGGAAGCACTGCAACTTCATGGCTCCATAGCCTGTCAGGAGCCTCGGCTGCTTGACCAGTGGAGGACGAAGCCACAGCTTGATACCAGGGGTGAGGCACGGCACCGCCGGGCCACTCGACTTGGTCATGCGGGAGACGGCCTGCGAAAGATCGAGCATCGTCCAGTTATTGTCGACCTTGTAGTGGTAGTCGAGGGCGTGCTGCTCGCGCAAGGGCAAGGCCTGGTACCACGTTGACTTGACCAAGGCATCGGGCGTTTGCAGCGTGCTGTAGGCGAAGTTCTGCTCCTGACACACTTTCCTCATTTCTTTTTCCCACTCTCTTTTCGTCGTATCGTCCTCCGCGTCGTCGTTCTTCACCTTCCATTCATGCATATGGCGCCTGGTGGCAACCACCAGGGGGTCGGAGTCGTTGAGCAAGAACTGCTGAAGGGCCACCGTGCCCGCTGAAGCAAACAGTTTCGAATCCTTGATGATCCTCTTGGCCAGCGCCTGTGCCTCGGACCTCTCCAAGCCCATGCCCCAGCGAACGCAGACGCCGTAGGCCCTCGTCCTTGCCTGGGGGACCTGGTAGTCACTGGACGTGTACTTGCTGACTGCGCACGCATACTTGCACTTCGCCAGCGCAGCGATCAGCCACTCCAAGTTCTCCGCGTTCGCCATCTCCAGGATTTCCTTCACGTTTTCCCAGATGTGGAAAGGAGGGCTGTGGTTGCTGAGGTAGGCCAGCATCCCTTTGCATGTTGCGCCTGTCGATCCTTTACCTTGCTTGAGGATTTCGTCCAGCATCTCGCTCCTGGACATGCCTGCCGTCCCTGCGAAGAGCTTGGAAAAGTTCTTGCAGCTGAACCCAGTCGTCGAAATGAGCGGGGCGTCCTCCATGTTCCTGAGGTTGGAGGGGACGCTGCACTCGGGCCTATCGTGCACGACGCACGTGGCATGGCGCCGCCCCATGTTCATGATGTTGTCGAATATGTGACATTCCGGGTCGCCCATGCTGTCGCCGACGAATTTGAGCCAGCCTCTTTTCGATTGGTCTGCCTCGCATGCGAAAGTATCTCTCACCTTCCCGCTTTTCAGCACCTCGAACAGCTTCTTAATCATGACCGTGGTGATGTTGGATCCCGAACACATGCTGCCGATGTTGACGACTTTGAGCTTGCCCACGTTGGTCTTCATGCGTGGGACGATGTGCAGCTGGCTCCCCCCGCCCTCGATGTGCTTCTTCTGGGCGGCGTCGATCATGCGTTTGAGGACGGCCTTCACGATGTCGTCCTTGATGGACAGCGTCTCCTTGATGACCCCTGTGTCGCCCTTGTCCGCGCCAGCAGGCTTTTTGGTAGAATTCCGTCCCATGGCGCGGCCCCCAACGTTGCCGAGGTCGTTGGATGAGAGGGGGCGCTGAAGGGTTGAACCGGATGGCCATCGAGTGGCTGTGAGCAAGTAAGCAACCAACCACAAGCTATCGACCCTTGCGGTCGCTCCGATAAGTCAACGAGCCCCTGGGATTCTCATAGACCCACCCTCTCGAGATAGCTGCCGAGTCGCACGTCTCAACCCTCAAGGCCCTTCAAGGCCAACGGGAAACATAGAAAAGAAAACCCCCTACTCGCGAAGACGGATGCTCGGGGGAACGGGGGGGCAGACGATGAGGCGGGGCCATTGCTTTTTCCTCGGCGACTCTGCCACGCTCCCCTGCAGATCATCTGGGCAATCCGAATCGGATCTCCGTCGCCCAGGGCTCCCGCAACTGGCCATCAGCCAGCGCCCTCAAAAACACAAGCTCTGGCTCCAGCTCAGGCCCCCACCCCCTTCTTCTTCCGCTTCTTCGAGGGGGGCTTCCCGTCGGCCTTGCTCTCGCCCTCGTCGGTGCCGATCTTGCTGGTGGAGTCGAGCTTCGCCTCCGTCGACTTCTTGTCGGAGCCCGTCTTGTCCGCAGTATTCGCCAACTCGACGGCGCCTTGGAATACCGCATCGTCAAAATACTTCTTGAACTCCTCTGTGAAATTATCGTCGACTAGCTTCTTAATCTTGTCGATCTGCGTGCCCGGGGCGTCATCTTCCTTCTGGAGCAAGGAAAAGAGAGCCCACTTGATAGACATGGCGCTCAAACGAGCGATGATGTCCTGGGACTTCTGGAGATCCACTGGAAGCAACTTCAATCCTAAATCAGTGAGGAGCTGCACTGTGTTATCCGTTTGGCCACAGACCCGCGCATGTTCCGGAGTCAACGCTTTCAGAGCGTTCTTGTCGAAGGACTTCAGGAACTCGCCGTGCAGGAGGTCCTCCTTGTTGGTCAAATACTTGTCCTCGAGCTCTTTGGCGACCCTCAGCGCATTCTCAGAGTTGAACTTTGCGTAGGCGTCGATTTTGTCATTGAGCTTGTCCAGCGCATCACCGAGCACGCCCACACCCTCTTTGACCAGGTCGCCGTTCAGCTCTGATCCCTCATCGGCCAATGAGGCTAAACCGGGGGAAGAGTCGCGGCCCAGCAATCGCTCGAGGTTCTCCTTGAACTCCCTCGCGCCCTTGTCGCTCAGGTCCAGCATGGCCTTCTTCGTGGGGACCCCAGCCGCGGGCATTGCAGCGATGAGGCTGAAGACATCGTGCTTCGACGCGCACTGCGCCAAGGACGTGGCGGTGGAGATCTGATTGCGCACCGCAACCTGGTCACCATCGATGCACGCAGAAAGCTGCCACATGAGGTGCGTAGTCTTCATGACAGACGAACAAGCGTCAGCTGCGCTGCTGGCCAGGGCGTCCAAGCCTTTCGAGGCGCGGACGTGCTTGAGCAAGACAACGATGGACTCGGTCAGGTTCGCGCCGAGGGAGTCCGACTTCTCCTTCGCAATCTTCTCGATGCCGCACGTCGCCATGATGACCCCGACGGCCTTCTCGGCAGAGGTTCTGTTCCCATCGGCTAGCTTCATCACCGCGTCGCGGCAGTCCTTCAACCTGGGAGTCGCTAGCACTAGCCCTGCACTGTACCAAGAGGGGGAATAAGCTGATAAGGGAAATTATCCCAGTGCGACCCTACCTAGGAGTTGGAACCCCTAGGAAAGCAGCACTAGTAGTAACAGTAACGCTAAGGTAACGCTAAGCTAAAGCTAAGCTGAAGCTAAGCTAAAGCTAAGCTAAAGCTAAGCCACAGCTAAGCTAAAGCTAAGCTAAAGCTAAGCTAAAGCTAAGCTAAAGCTGAGCAACAGCGAAGCTAAAGCTACAGCTAAGCTCCTTAAGCTAAGCTAAAGCTAAGCTAAAGCTAAGCTAAAGCTAAGCTAAAGCTAAGCTAAAGCTAAGCTAAAGCTAAGCTCAAGCTAAGCTCAAGCTAAGCTAAAGCTAAGCTAAACGCTAAGCGAAAAGCTAAGCGAAACGCTAAGCTAAAGCTAAGCTACAGCTAAGCTAAAGCTAAGCTAAAGCCCAGCTAAAGCTAAAGCTAAAGCTAAAGCTCCCAGGGGACTGGGGGGAACCGCTCCCAGGGGACTGGGGGAACCGCCCAGGGCGTGTTCCACTGCCCAGCCCCTTTAGGCTAAGAGAGTAAGAACCCTTCTAGGCAGAGCCTAGGTAGGGAATATTGGAAAAAGGGCGAGGAAATGAGCGAGAGAGGAAGAGAGATACGTTGGAGGAGGAATGATCGAGGCGGGCGTTAGAGGGTTCGGCTAAACAGGAGTAGGCGGAAGTGGAAGTCCACCCCCGCTACCGAGGCTTAGAAGCCCAACCAACGGAACCTGGCTGCGAGGGCCTGAATGTCGACATCCTGCTCGGTCTTACCATCTGCGAAACGATACGTGATAGCAGCGTGCATCTTCTCCATCAACGTCGCAATGAGGCCAAGCTCCTTGATCGCCTGCCTCACCTCAATGGCGTTCTTGGAGAGCTCGAGCGTCGATTCCACAACCTTCCACGTCAAAGCCTTGCACTCTTTGTGGAGGACGTGGACTTTCCCAGACTCGACGCTCCTTTTGAAGCCACTGATGAACGAGCACGCGGTCTCCATGGCCCCTCCCCGGAGCTCGTCGCAGGAGTCCTTGGAGCTCACCTCCTGCGCGTACTTCTCCACGCGGGCCAGGCACCCCTTGACGGCGTCTTGCCCGTGTTCGGCGGTAAGCTTGAACACCCTGTCCAATTGAGCGGCTTGTCGTTCATCCCTTGAGTCCGCCATCTCCTCGACGAGGTCGCTGATGCAGCTGGAAAGCTTCTCGGCGTCCTTCTGGGTGAGCGCATCCTCTGGACGGCTGTAACTGTGTTGCTTCTCGATCAGGCACATGGCGGCTGTCATCTTGGCCCTGAAGCTGGTGCCCCCAGCAGCTTCTGCCACGGAATCGTTGATGTATTTCGAGATTCTCTCGAAGTTGCCATGCGAGCCTACTGCGCGGAAGAAGCCAACATATTCTTTAGATGTAGTGCACGTGTGCAGCCGGACCAGTCCCTGTTCTTGTTCTTTTGCCATGTCAGGGCGCTCGGCAAAGTCAAACATGCCCTGGATGTCGGTCAAGTCGCTTACGTGGTTCTCGAAGCCTGGGCCGAACAGATCGCCTGCGGGGATTTCAAGCAAGGACTTGATAAAGTCCTTGGTATACTCCAGCGCAGCCCTGTCCTTCGACTCCGACTTGCCCGAAACCCCGTCAAGCATGAACGCGATCAATCTCTCGATGAGCATCATGATCAGCGACCACTTGTCCTCCTCTGGAAAGTTTTCGACTTTGTCGAGGCCCGTTTGTATCCAGGTCTTCAGCTCGCTCAGGTTCTGTTTGACAGCCAGGTGGAGGCCCCTGGACACATAGAAAGCGATCTGGCAAGCCGGCGGGGGCGCGCGGCCATCCTCGAACACGCGCGTCAACTGCGCAACTTTCTCGACGTCCAAGGTATCAACCAGTTTCTTGCCGCCAGAGAAGGTCTGGAAGTACTTCACCGTGTCTGAGATGGTCTCCCTGTGAGTTGTGAGGATCTTTGTGGCTTCTTCCGGTTTCCCTGATCTTTTTTCGATCTTCCAGAATAGTTTCGTCATTGACTTCTGCGAGTCGTTGATGGACGACGCGGCCTTCTTGCACGCATCCGAGATATCCTTCTCCTTCAAGACATACGCGTTCAAGACTGCGTCCTCCGAGATCTGATTCATCGACTCCTCGAACTGGTCCAGGATATCCCGCAGCCCGTTCCTATCCAAGTAAGCATCCACGTCGACGACCACGTCCTGGACCTGGGATTCCTCCTTGCTTTTGCGCGAAGATGTCCGTGAGCAAGGGGCTCCGCCTCTGGGGGATCTCGAGCGTATGGATACGACGGACCTAGCACCCCGCCGCCCTGCGCCCGAGCCCTGTGCCCCTCCTGTGCTTTTCTGGGCAGAGCTTGCCTTCGGCGTAGCCTTGGTCCTGCCACTGGCTGTCTTCGCAGCCGACGAGGGCGCGTCCTTGGTCGCCTTGGCTGTCTTTCTGTTCTTATTCAGCACCCCTGCGAGGAAGTCGTCGCTGTCCTCGGTGTCCAAGGCGCTGTCGCGGCTCTCCTCGTCATCATCATGCTTGTGCTCCTCCTCTCGTGCTGCAGCTGCCTCTTCTAGCGCCTCCGCAGTCAGGAGCTGCTCAGTGGAAGCTTTCACGTCGAGGGCTGCCTGGGCCCGCCTGGCTTTAGCCTCGAACTTGGACTCGATTTGGCCATCACGAATCACATTCTTTCCGTCGTCAATCACCTCTTTCTTGATGGTCTCCATCCTGTCCTCGATGTCCATTTCCCATTCACCCTCGGCCATAGTAGCAAGTAGAACAACTTCTTCCAGCTTCCCCTTGTGGTATTGCATGCACGTGTCCAGGCCATCGTCTTCGGGGGTCCTGTCGTTGTGCGTGTCTTTGTACCGTTGCACGGTCATGACGCGGAATTTCGATCGATTCACGGTCCCAGCACTCTGATGCATCTCAATGCTGCGCTGCCTGGCCGCCAGCAAGTTTTTCTTGCGGTCTTCTTTCTTTGCACCCCTCAACCGCAACTCGACCTCGCCATTGTTGATGCGTTTGATAAGCTCCAGCCGGGCAGCTTTGAACTGCAACATGATGCTCACGTCGTTGGGCGCTTTATCTAGCATCTTCTGGATGCTGCCAAACTCCTCCAGGAACCCGCCTTGAGTGAAGGTGTTGTAACATAGAGTGCAACTCTTGCCCTCTGGGGACTTCTCATCTCCGTAGAGCCACGGAATGCTCTTCCACTCGCTCAGCTTGCCGACTCTGATCGGGTTCTCCGCGGAGCTCTGGCACCCGCACGCCTGTATAATAATATCAATGGCGCAAACGAAGAATAGGACAACATGCAACACAGCTAGTGGCCTGAGAATTTGACTGATCACATCGCCAAGACCCCGGGAGGACACTCTAACGAAGTGCGCCTGATCAAGAGAGGGGCGCCTCAACAATACAGGCAAGACAAGGGTGACTCCCTCGGTTAGGCGCCCCTTTCTTGGACAGGAGCCCCTCGTTTGGCTTCCCCTCTTGGTCTGGCGACGAGGACGGTCACAACGAAAGAAGTGTCCTTACACGTAGCCACGTGCACGCAGAACTTCGCCATGGGGCCCTTGCTCTTGGGCATCAGGCCACTCGCCCCTCTACACACCTCGGAGAAGCCGTCTCCATCATCATCAGCCAAAGCACGATCCATCGTGGCCTTGCCCTGAGCAGCTGTCTCACCAGCCGCCTCATGGGTGGCCATGTCGGCCTGGTTCCGTCAACGTCTGCAGGAAGACATTGGCATGAGGCCCGGAGGCCTCGCAATTGGAGCCGAAAGCTACAGTGCGAAACCGACGCCAACGGTCCGAAAGCAAAGCCCGAAATCCGAAAGCGCCTGGAATCACCGTCCGAAAAGCAGCCTGGAAAACAAGGGTCGGTCCGAAAGGCATCCCCGAAATCCTGCAAGGGCCGGAAACGCTCTGTAAGAGCCGGAAACGCTCTGTAAGAGCCGGAAACGCTCTGTAAGAGCCGGCTTTCGGATTTCGGGGGGGGGGGGGATTCGGCTTTCGGATTTCGGGGGGGGGGGGGGGGGTTCGGCTTTCGGATTTCGGGGGGGGGGGATTCGGCTTTTTTCAGGTTTGCCATTTTTGCTTTTCGACTCGCTGTCCGAATTGGCTGCCCAGTGCAGACTTAGCCCAACGCAGCTTGGCCTCTTGGGTGTGCGGTGTGCGTAAGTAGTGAGGGGTGCCACCTTTGACTCTATGGCATAGACTATGACACTATGACCTAGACATCCGGGCTCACTCATTCACTCATTCACATTCAGCTGCGTTGTGTCGATATGATAGCAGATGGTACCAAGTGGAAGGGGTGACAGAGAAAGAACCAGCGGCCCACCTGCATCACCGCCCCTTGCTGGGGCTGCTATGGGAGGGTCTTGGAACCGCGCCAATGGAATCTGAAGAGCAAAACAGGAAAACACGCCGACTGACCCCTCTTGGACTCCTCAAGGGGGGGTCCGTGGACTTCTCAGGCGGGCATTTCTGGAGGATGTTTTGGAACCTTGTTGGGGCCGTCCTGGGGCTCCCCTCGACGGCCCTGAAGGCTCCAGAAGTGCCCTCAGACCGCCCGAAGGTGCCCCCAAGGTTGCCCCATGAGGGCCTCAAGAGGGCTCCAATAGGCCAATAGGCGACGCTCTGTACAAGAAACGTGGCTTCACCTAAGGCGCCCCCAAGAGGGCCCCAAGAGGGCTCCAAGAGGCGACGTTCTGTGACACAAACGTTGTGTCACAAAACGGCGTATTTTGCTGTGGCACTTTGTCGTTTGTGACAGGTTGTTGGGCCTGATCACTGATGCCCTCTTGGGCCCCTCTTGGGGGCCCCGATACAGCCCTGGAAGGCTCCATAAGTGCCCTAGGACGGCCCTGAAGTGTCCCCAAGAGGGCTCAAAGAGGCGACGTTCTGTAACACAAACGTTGCGTAGGCCAAACTCATAATTTTCCATAGGACGACGTACCGTACACCCAACGAACCGTAACCCACCCTCTTCTTGGGCCCCTCTTGGGCCCCAATGCGCTCCCAGAAGGCCCTTGGACAGGCCCAAGAAGCCCCAAAACGGCGCCAAGAGAACCCCCAGATGGCCCAAATACATGTGGGACGCCGCAAATTCACATTGATTCGTTATGCGAGTGTGACTGTCGCGGGATACTGTGAACTCACATTTATGCGGGCGTGAATGTTGATGTCAGGGGGGCGTCTCCACAATTGACAAGGGGTCCCGGGGAGCCCTCTCCCACTTATTGTCGCCACGCCTTGGCGGCTGGGCCCGCTCGGGTCGCGGGTGGATCGCTGCGAGGCGGGCCCATGGCCCATGCCGCATGCCAATCCCCCCCTCCCTCCCTCTCCGCCCCTCCCTCCCCCTCCCTTTCCACTTCCTCTCCCCCCCGGAGCTGGTCCTTACTTCGAGATCTCGGGTTAACTTGCCCGCTTCCAATATTCATTGTTTGGGCCATGGCTTGAGAGCCAAGGATGGATGAAGGGGGTAAGAAGAAGGAGAAGAGGGAAAAGGGGAAGGAGAGTGAAACTAATACTAACTCGGAGGATAATCACGAGCAGGAGCAATAGGAGGAAAGCGAGGGAATGCGGAGGATGAGCGAGTCTACACATCTTATTATCATGATTCATGCCGAGCCGACAAGCGTGCTCCAGTCGAACGAAATAGGCAGCCGCCGCGACAAGCTCGCGCGCGAGCTTTCATTCGGGATGACTCCTCGGTGTTTGCTGTAACACACGCGGCAAGAGTCGAAAACAGCACCAGAACATCAGAACCTAAGTGAGGTGGTGAGCTCTGGGTCAAGGTTTCGGTAACCTGTCAAACATTCTCAAATGCTCTGCTTTGCCCGCTTTGCCAAAGGGCAGATCTCGCCCATCCTTTAACCACTGCCGAAACACCTGCTGCCGAGGGAAATCCGACGCACATCTCACCCGTGAGCACCCATGCGCATTGCAATACATTGAAATAGCTTCCCGGGGCTCGCCGACATGCATCAGAGTTAGCCTCCCCCATCTGTCTTTGTCGTTTTCTGGGTTGAAGAAATACCTGTGAGTATCGTCGTGCTCCACAACTGTAGGAAGACCCCCTGCCGCTCCTACATCTGCACCAGGGGCTGCGGGGGGCGGGTCGGCGGCTGCTGCTGGTGCAGCTGCGCCAGCAGCTGCACCAGCCGCGTCAGCAACAACATCTTCCCACTCTTCCAGTGCCTCAACATATCCACCCACATCAACGTCATCTATGGCTTCTATGGCAACAGCGTGCTCCTCATGACCGCCGCCGCCCTCTGGACCCTCCTCACCGTGCCCCCCGGGACCGTCGCCGCCCTCTGGACCCTTTTCTTTTTTACCCTGGCCCCCTCCAAGTTTCCTCTTCGCGGCCTTCCTCAACGAGGCCATCACGCCACTCAGAATGGACAGCTCGTCATCCAACGTCTTGCCTTTCTGTAGCTCCCTGATGTCGCCTGCAGGCCGAATTTCAACGAAAGCCGACTGCCCTCCCGACGCTTTCCCCTCATCCCTATGAGGAGGAAGGAAGAGTGAGGAGGGAGGGGGGAGAAATGAGGATGGGGGGAGGCAGGAGGGAGGAGAAAGGAGGGAGGAGGGAGGAGGAGGAGGAGGAAGGTGAGGACACAGAAGAGGAGAAGGGCCTATCACGGAGGAAGCAGGGCATGAAAGCAACGAGAGAACACGAGACGAACATAACACAATACTTGGCCTGTTGGGTGCCCACGGGGCCCACGGGGCCCGCTTGGCACATGTGACACATGTGCGATCTCTCCCGCGAAACTCTGTCTGGCAAATATCATGCACCCCTCTCTCTGCTGCCTTCGTTGCCGCATGCAGACATCAAACAAGGTCGCAATCCTGTCACGTCGTTGACGTCACTGACGAGGAGCTGCAACAATGAGACGAACGTGTAACTCACCTTCTTGATGATCACCGCCGCGCCACCCACAGATAACATCCAAACAGCCAGATCAGGTGACGCGCTCAGCGCGCTATCGAAGTCTACCCTCACGTTCACCAATTTGCCTGTCTCCACGGCGCCACCGTCAGCCAAGGAGCATTCCCAGAAGACTTGCTGCGGGTTCCCAGACTCGAGTACGACCAGCGGCATCAAGAACAAGCGACGCGGCACTGGATCGTCTGCTGACCCTGCAGCTCCGCCCACGCCCTCAAACAAGAACAAAGGAACCTCCTCCACGAATGCTTGCTGCGACTTCGGCAGTTTAGACAAGATGAACAATGTGTGCCTGCAACGATCCACGACGCCCAAGTCATCCTCGCTGAATTCGGAAATACAACGGCCGACCCCCACTCGATTGCAGCACGGCTTCGGCGGGGGCGGTGCGCCGTCGGGTCGGTCGGGGAGGATGCTGCCGACCGAGGTCCTCCATTCGCGCGAGGATGCCAATATATTTTCAGCCGCCGCCCCAACCGAAGCTTCAGACAAAGGATACGCGCCGTCACCTGCTTTCCATGGCGTGTGCTGTGACATGTCATCCGTCGGTAGTGCGGGCGCGTCGGCGTCGATCTTGAATGCCGCCTTCTCGGCCGGGCTCTTCAGCTTCCACAGCTCCCCGAGTGACGCAAGGGTTTGTCCCGGCCCATGATTCTCACGCACGAAGGCATGCCAACCTCTGAGTTCTCTATCAAGCCGTTGCTTCTCGTGAGGTCGCCGACGGCTGTGCTTCTCCATAGCGATGCCGTGCCAGGCTTGCCACTCAGACAAGATGTGTTTGTGGGCGACCGTACTGTGATTTGTTGCTTGACTGCTCATCTGCGCATATCGATTCTGTCGTGCAAACCTGTCTTCGTTCTGAATATTGCGGCAGTCCGCCTTCTCAAAGGAGTTGCAGACAAGGTCCCGAACATATGCGTCACCGATGAGCTGATCAGCCGTATCGACAACCCCCCTGATGGGGCCTGCAAAACCAGGCTCCATGTGGCCGACCTCGCATCGGATAAAATCCTCACATACTCTGCGCCTGGCGTGTTCCGAGTTCTCGGGGTCGTAGGCCGAAGCCAGGCGCCAAGGCCACTTCTCGAACTCGCGAATGCAACGGAGCCACAAGCCAGATATGATGTTGAACACTTCGGTACCAGCGCTTGCCATTTTTCTTTGGTCCCAGCTTGTGAAACCAACAACAGGTAACCAAAAATATCCATCCATATTCTGGAGCATGCCAATAAGTCGGAGGACCGTGGCGCGAGCTGGATTTCGGGTGGGCTTGCAGAACTCCATAGGACCCCAGCTCTGTACTCCATCAAATCTGGCGGACTTGAAAAATCTCCCCATGAGAGCAACAACTTGGACCAATAGCACACATCCCACAGCTTGTTTCAGAGCTGCGTTTGAATCTGAGAGCCAGCCGGATGCTTTTGCAAATCGTTTCTCTCGTTTCTTCATGTACGTGTCATCTTCTCCAAGCCCGAAGAACTCGGACTCCGTCAGAAGTGGCACCGCTCTATGGGCGTGATGTTCGGAAGGCGGCTTGACTGCAGAGTGAAACGCAGAAGGTAGGTATCCACATATAGTACCAGCGCACCAGTAGGATAGAGGTGCAAATAGTTTAAGCCAGCGGCTCAATGCAGGAACTGGGACAGATAAATCCAAATGGGCAGTCTCGATATCTTTGGTGATAGATTCAAATGCTTTCTCCTTCGAGTCGTGGCACCCGAGGGGGCAGTAGTGCTGGAACTTCACTAT